AGCATCGTTGGATTAGTAAGAATAATTAAGAGAAAGCGCTGGAGATGATATTGATTACAGATGGATATGTACATATATAGTTGAGGTACAATCTTAGAATGATCACTACCCAAGATATAATCTTGCTAAGACACAATCTGATATAATAATCTTAACTAATACTACGTGTCAGAGACATGCTTAACGGTAAAAGGCGAGGACTTGGTCTTCGTGGGTCCAAGGATATTGGGCTAGACTAGCCCCGTGACATTAAGCCCATAATGTATGGACACGCTAACAGGATTGTTTTTTTTTTTTGGATTCTTGAACCTCTCTTTCAACAATTTCCATGGAAAGATTCCATCAGGGACCCAACTTCAAAGTTTTGATGCCTAAAGCTATATTGGGAATCCTTAACTATTTGGACCTCCACTTCTAAAGAATTGTTCCGAAGAGGGCATGGAACCCGTTAAAGGATATGACAATGACCAAGAAGATGAATTTCTATCTTTCTTTTATATTATTATATTTAGAAGGTATACATATTATAACTACTCCTTTACTTTCTATACAAAAATTATTAAAATATCAGTTCAAACCTAACTACAAATCAAGACTCCCAAAGCACATAATCGCGAGAAAGGCATTTTGAAGTATAGAATTTCAAGAAGTACCCCGAAGCTAATCCTACAATATTTAAGTTAGTGTTGGAGGAAATTTTGAACTTGAACTATCAATAAAAATATTCCAAATAAAAATGCAAACAAAATAATCAATTAAAAACTGGAGTAAGGATGATGAATAATATTATTATATACATAAATTAAAAGTTAAGCAATAAATTTATCACCTCCAACACCAAACTTCGAAATTGTGTGTATCTTTATTTGTTGCAACCTATTACCATAACATCTCATAAAAGGCTTGCATACTATTATCAAAATTCAATCACCTTATAAAAAGAGAGCAGAAGCATAAATTAGTAAATAATATATACAAATGAAACTAACATACATTGCAAAAGAAAAAAAGAAACTAGTATTGTTTTATATAATACCATAGTCACAAATTTAGTTGACATATTAAAATACCAACTAAATATCATTTGATTCATCTGATAAGTTTTGACCAAGCATTCTTTATAGATGAATCACTGCCAAACTGTGATTTGCCGCTCTTGACTCAACAGGTTGATAGCATGATTAATGTGAAATACATATGCAATGCTACAGAGGAATGAAACATTAAGGTAGACTTGTTGTAAACAAATGAAAGACAAGGTAAACATATAAGTGATGAAATTATACGAGGGCCAAGAAAGATAATTTTCCTATACTATTTAAACAATATACTCATGAATGATATTGTAATTGATCAAAGTGAAAACATGGAATGAAATCATAGCCAACCACATTTATTTATAATTGATACAATATCGGGAAATTTGAATTTAAATTGTAAATCTAATCTAACCACCTGATATTGAAATTTAAACTAATTTAACTTAAAATGTGAAATTTGACCATAAAGACTTTTTATTTTTAAATCTGCGGAGGTAAATGGTGATATTATAAAATTGTCCCATAATTAAATAATAATTTGAAATTCAAATAGGTAAATCTATATATATATATATATATATTTTATTTTATTTTCTAAACCAGACTTCTCAAAATATAAATAATATCTAATTTTATTAGTGTACAAAAATATAAAATAATTTAATTACTCCTTTTCAAATGATTTGATTTGAATTTCAAATACACACATAGGATAACCACTCCTTTGTTTTATATATATATATATATATATATAAAATTTTTTTTAAACAAAACCTATCCAAAAAAAATCAAAATTTAAATTATTTTATATATAAAAAATGATAAATAACCCTGAAACTTACTCCAAACCGGAATTCTTTATTTTATATACATATAAAAATAATAAATAATCTCGAACATAATTTTGAAGCACAGAATATATTCATGATTTATTATATTTAAATATCATTTTTTAAATATCTATGAATGTGGGGCAAGTAAATAGATAAAATGTATATAATTTTTTACCTGAATAATTTTCAAAAATCATAAAGATAGATCCTATTTTTCATTTCAAATATTTAAAAATTAATTTATATATAAGTCTAAAAAATGATATACATAGATAAATATTAATTTGAATTCAAATATATATATATATATACACACACTCGATTGTATAAAGCTTAATTTTTGAAATATCCTTTGAAATTTTTGAAAATCATCAAGATAGATAAGACTTGAATATCAAATAGGTGAACAATAATTTTTAATACATATAACAATTAATCATTTATCCCGCATCTAACTTTAAACCTAATCCCAAATTTAACTTCGAAGCATAAAATCACATAAAAGGCAACCCAACACACAGAATTATAATAAATCTAAAAATAAATATGTAATATTTTTTCGTAGCATTAAACCCTATATATATATATAATGATAGGAAATAACTTGAAAGTTCATGTTGAATCATATGTTGAAAAAGTATTTCGAAAATATAATAATGCTAAATATTTTATTTAAAAAAAATTAGACTTACATTATACTATTATTTATTGAAGAATTTGAAATGCTTTGCCCCAACCTTTGATGCTAGATCCGCCTCTGATACAAATCGCAAAGCACGTGGCCTGCAAGTGCAACCTACTATACATAAAAGCATCAAATTCGCTTTTTACAAAATTAACGATGTATGTTTTTAAATTTGATAAATAAAAAAATATTGTTATTTTCTCCTCTGAAAATTTCTGGTTTAGGTTTGGAATTTTTTTAAAAAAAAACTTTTGTGCTTTGAAGCAGACCTTGTTCATATAATAATATAATATTTTTACATCATTACATCTTCTATTTATATAAAAAAAAAAAGACAAGAAAACATGTTTTGGATTCTAAATATTTAATATTTAATATTTTGATGCCTCTGGCAAAAGAAAGAAACAAGTAAAATAAAGTTCTGTTGTCGGAGTACCCTTGCGTTTAATCAATTATTTTTAAGTTAGATACCATAAGGTTGATATGGAATAATAGAAATTGTGGTGTCATTGAAGCCCAAATCAAGACCAATACAACAATAGATGGCCCCTTGGTCCCTTTCTTATGGAACAAGTTTTGAGTAATAATTTTCATATAGTATAAAGAGTAAACTTAGCCAAAGCAGATATTATTTCTCCCAAGATATTGAAGGCAAAGTGTACATCTCTCATAATTAAGTTAGTATATGTATAAGGATTAAGATTCAAATTCCCAACCACTTGTTTCATATACAAGAACCTCATTTCAACTTTAATTGATGGGTAATATTAAGTCCATTAATCACAAAACACTTTTTGATTTCTTGATTGATGATTTCATTAATTGAATTACGGACATTTTCATATTCTTTTGATCACACCTCTAAGATTATGGAGTCTTCTTTTTTTTTTTAAATTATTCCATGAACTTTAGATTTAGTGATATCATAGATCTTGAACTTATTTACTGTATAAATTATTTTTTTCAACTTTTAAAAATAGTACAATTTAACCCTTGTCATTGATAAAAGTTGATTTTAATTATTAGCTGATAAAAAATGATAGAAAATGACTAAAAATTCTTTTGAGTTCTTTTCTATAATTTTTGGGTTATTGTTTGTAACTTTGGGTTCTTTATTGTAATTTTTTTATAATTTTTGAGATCATTTTCTTTATTTTTTGATCAACTAATGGTCAAAATTAACTTTTGTTCATAATAGAAGTTATATTGTACCATTTTTAAAAATTAAAAGAATATTTTACACAATAAATAAGCTTAAAGTCTACGATACTATTTGACTAAAAATTTATGAGATAATTTACTCATTACCCTATTTTTGTAATTTATTTGCTTGATAAATTACCACTACCTATTTCGCAAGCTAATGTAATAAAACGCGCGGGTAAGAGGGTTGCTTGCATTGACCGAGTTTTCTATTTTTATAGTCAATGCAAACATTTTTAAATTTTATTAAAATTACACAAAGTTTCCCATTTTTAAAATAAAATAATTTACACTCATCTCTTTTGGACCTTGTTCAAAACATTATTAGAAAAATTACCATTCAAAGGCAAATTCTAGGCTTGGATTAGCTAGCTTCATTTTTTTTTGTTTAGAACATAACTTTATAACTTTATATTTTCATTCTATTCTATAACAAAGAACCTACTGTAATCTTGTAATCACTATAGGGAAGATATTCGTAAACAACAAAACCAATGAATTTCACAGAAGATCAGATTTTCTTGTGTCTTCTTAAGAAATTCAAAGCAAAGGTTTGCAATTTTTGCATGGATGACGTCATCCAGTCGACTTCCAATAGGAAGTTGAATTACACAAGTAAAAGAGATGACGCAATGATTTAGATGTGAAAGTAAAATATGTTAAGTTGCTCGAAAATCAAAATGACTAGTAATAGTTAAATATTTATCTAATAAGTTCTCACTATCTTTATTTGTTTAATATTAATTTTGACCTTTTCCATTCAAACTTCACCCGAAATTAGCAATATTATAAGCACACATTTTCAAATTCATATTTTCTTGTTATATTGGTCACTAATAAAATTATATAAAATAAAACATTTGAAAGTTTCTCCAATAATAAATGTTTTTATTTTATTAATAATCATTTTAATATTATCACACTCTCCCTTTCTCTCGTGTCTCTTGTGCCGCCACTAATAATTTGATTAAAATTAATTACTAATGTCAATATGAAATATAAATTTTCCTTCACTAAAAATATGAATCCCTCTTCCCCAATTTTTTTCCGGGTTCCGCCCCTAGTATACAAGTTTTCTCGAAGTATCTAGAGAAAATCATAAAATAAAATGGAGAACTAACCATCCATTTTCTGAATACTTTATTATTCTTTGCCACTTTGTCATGACTTATGTCATGAAGATAAGCTTTAATTTGTTGAAATTATTTAATAATTCTCACAGAATATGGAATTCAAGCTCTCACTCTAAGCATATGTAACGGTGTCAATGGTGGCAATCCCCTTCCCACCAAACCATATCTTGAGGGATCATGGATTCCTTACTCCCCTCCTTTCTTGCTGTTAATGTTTTTATCCTATGGTCACTTTTATTTGTAATCATTCTCCCAAAAGGCATGTGCAGTCTGAGAGTGCGGTGCAATGAAAAAGATCGACATGCTCTTCTCAACTTCAAACACACTGTGGTTGATCCATCAGCCAAACTCTCTGGCTGGTCCGATGAGCGAGATTGTTGTGAATGGATTGGAGTTCACTGTGACAACACCACTGGTAGAGTCATTGAGCTCAATCTCTCTTGTTCTCCGAAATCCGTTGATGATATATGCCAATACAAATCACAGTGTCTCACAGGTGAACTCCCCCTATCTTTGCTTCGACTTGAATTTCTAAATTACTTGGATTTGAGTAGCAATGACTTCAAGGTTCTGGCTCAAGATGCTGATGTTAATATCACAAATTGTAGCCATCGTCATCTATCATGTGAAAATTCCTCCAATCTTCATCATCTTGATTTATCCTATAATAAGGATCTTCACATTGATAATCTTCATTGGCTTTCTCGTGTTCCCTCCTTGAAATATGTTAACTTGAATGCTATTAATCTTCAAGACAAAGTTGATTGGATTCAGTTGTCGACTTTGCTTCCTTCACTTACAAGTTTATCCTTGGGGTATTGTCAACTTAGAAACATCAATCCATCTCTCAAACATGTCAATCTTACTTCACTTGAAGTTCTTAGCATCCCAGGTAATGCTTTCACCTACTTAGAATCGATTCCAAATTGGTTATTCAATTTTAGTGATATCACTACTATTGACTTGAACTTTAATCATTTTCAAGGCCAGTTTCCAAAGGGGTTATTGAATCTTCAAAAAATAAAAAAAGTGTATTTGGCTGGCAATAAACTCAATGGACCAATTCCATATTGGTTAGGCCAACTTGAACATCTACAGTGTCTTGATGTTGGCATAAATTTATTTTCTGGTCCTATTCCTTTTACTTTGGGAAATTTGTCATCCTTAATTAGCTTAAAAGTGGAGTTCAACCACTTGAATGATACTCTTCCAGAAAGTTTCGGACAACTTTTGAATTTGAAGGAGTTAGATATTAGTAATAATCAATTCAGGGGGGAGGTGTCTGAAAGAAATTTTCTCAAACTCTCAAACTTAAAACATCTTCACATGGGATCACCAGGCTTAATCTTTGCCTTTGATTCTATGTGGGTTCCTCCTTTTCAGCTCACATATATTCATCTTGAACATTCGAAAATTCCAACATGGTTGTATACACAAACATCTCTTCAGAGCTTAATAATTGCCGACTCAATATTTCAAGCATCACTTGAATTTCAAGACAACTTTTGGGACTTTGCAGCTCAAGTGCAAGACTTCGTGTTATTAAATAGCATGATTGATGGGGACATGTCAAATGTGTTGCTAAACTCTACATTCATAAGTTTTTATTCAAATACATTCAAAACAAGCAGCCTCCCTCGATTATCACCAAATGTCGTCCAGTTTCATGCAGAAAACAACTTTTTTTCAGGATCTATTTCTTCACTATTGTGTCATAAAATTAATGAGAGAAGCCAATTACAATATTTGCGCATGTCAAATAATTCTCTTTACGGTGGGCTAACAAATTGTTGGATGAATTGGAAATCGTTGGTTTTTATCCAACTAGACAACAATAATCTAACAGGTACAATACCCTCATCAATTGGTGTCTTATCTAACCTTACTTTCTTGGTTCTCAACAAAAATAACTTATTTGGACAGATGCCTTCGTCATTGAAAAATTGCCAAAACCTAGAGATCCTTGATGTCAGAGAGAATAAGTTATCAGGATCCATACCGAATTGGTTATGGCACAAAGTTAAGATTCTCCAATTAAGATCCAATCATTTCAGGGGAAATATTCCTCCAGAAATATGCAAATTAGCTTCCCTCATAGTATTGGATTTGGCAAACAACAACATATCGGGTTCATTACCTTCTTGCCTTTATAACATGACTGCTATGACTTCACCTCATTCTTCACATTATGGGGTTCCATCCTGGTGCATTACAGCATCATCTATGGCTGTTGAATTTGAAGGCACTGTTCTCCTGCTTATAAAAGGCGCAGAAAGGACCTATTCACAATACTTGGTGTGTTCTATAGATATATCAAGCAATAATATGTCTGGAACATTACCTTCGGAAATAGTTAGCCTGGCTGAATTGCGATCTTTGAACTTGTCCCACAATCAATTTGAGGGCAACATACCAAAAGAGATTGGCAACTTGAAACAACTGGAGTCTCTCGACCTTGCAAGCAATCGACTCTCGGGTGAAATTCCTCAGAGTATGGTTGGATTGTCTTTTTTGGGAGCCATGAACCTCTCTTTCAACAATTTCTCTGGAAAGATTCCATCAGGGACTCAACTTCAAAGTTTTGATGCATTAAGCTATATTGGGAATCCTGAACTGTGTGGAGCTCCACTTCCGAAGAATTGTTCTAACGAAAAAGGCATGAAACCCATTAAAGGATATGACAATGACCAAGAAGATGAATTTCTATCTTCCTTTTACATTGCATCAGGAGTTGGATTTTCGATGGCATTTTGGGGAGTTTGTATTGCCATTTTTTGCATTAGGAGCTTCAGGAATTCGTACTTCAGATTCCTATTCCGTATCAGAGACAAACTTTATATCATGGTGGCCCTCACAGTGAATCGTTTCAGTTGAAATTTAACGTTATTGCCACTGTGAGGTAAGTCAAAAGAGCTTCTCATTCTGTTTTGAAGCTAGGCTTTTGGCCCCCCTCTTTGAAATTTACCAAACATATTTATTTGTTCTTATAATATTCTCGAGTCTCATATTCTACTGCTCTCATCTCAAGCATTTATATAATGAGATAACTATGATGATATGACGCCATGCTATATGAGTCTATACATTTAATATTTTGTAGTTGTAGTACCCGTGCAATTATGTTCATATTTATGCATTATGCAGGTTCTTGTTGGGTGTGCTTCAGTATGTCCCTTCAAATCTTGGATTGAACTTCGCAAGACAACACGATGGAGTGGTGTTACGCACTATCACTTTATGAAGCCAAGATTAATTTTGTTTTGATTACTTAATTTGAAATTATGCAATACAGTTCATTTTCTGTATGCAGTCTGTATCCTTAATAGCCATGTGTGATGTGTCCGTAAATAAAGTGGACACGTCTGTTTTTAAACAAATAAAGCAAATAACTTGAATGTTTATGTTGAATGAGATGTGGTTTTTTAGATATATGGTGATTGACTTTTTTTTTTTTTCATAAATTGATGTTGTGTATTCGAACCTTTTAATCAAATACATCCATATACTTAAAAAAAAAAGAAATTGCTTAAAAAAATACATGCATCAATATACAATGACACATGAAAATATATAACAAAATGTAATTTTTTAAAAAATATATTTTTATAGTTTTTAAAATTGATATATTAAATATATTATTTCAGTTGGCCTATTATTCAAACGAAACTTCTTAAAACATAATACTCCCTTCTCTCCTAACCAAATCATACCAATTAAGCTATACGAATTAAGAAAATTAGTTAAAAGTCTTGATTTTTTTAAAAAAATTTATGAAAATTTTAAATTATCCTTAATTGTAATTTTTAAAGTCAAACATGCTACGTAAATAAACTAATTTGGTAATGTGAACATTTTTTGAAATAGCTCATTAAATAATGCTTAATTAAATTTTATAAGGTATCTTGTATAGAACTGAGCAGGGAGAAAATGTATATAAAAGTATTTCAAAAATATAATAATGCTAAATATTTTTTTAAAAAAACTTTAAAATTAGAATCCAAAAACAATACTGTCCATGTTGAAGTATTATACAAATTTCAAATTATACTAAGATCTGAAGGCACTTGATTGTTGTTTTTAAATTTTGCGAGATTTATTTGTAAATAAATTTGCTTTAAGAGATTTCTATGAAGCTTTTTATTTTTTTCTTTTATCAAAATGCCACCGAACTTTATTGATAAGTTCTTATAAATTTTAAATGAATTTTTTTTCTAGTAAGGAGTTTTTTCTCTCAAATTTTTTATATGTAGTGATTAGTTTACATGGAATCGGGGTTATTTTTCTAATTTTTATTTTATTTCCAATTTTTTGGCACTTGTAATTTGAACTTCTTTATTTCAAAAGCTTTATAAATAATCTACGTATGTATGATTTAAAGATTGAATGGTTTTTGGGAATAAAATCAGTTTTTTGCTTATAAGCTTCGCCATATATATATATATATATATATAAATTAACGGCTTTGGACAATTTATTTTTTTCATATAGCTATTTGAATGAATAAGAATCCATCATTGTTAAGCCCAATTAAGGATAACTTTTTTAACAATATTATTTTTTTTATTTACACAAATTTAAATTTAAAACCTTGTGCTTAAAATAGCCATAGCTCTTTTCAATAAGATCAGACCGTTTGTTTCTTCGTACTAAACAAGGGAGGGACTGGGCTGGGAAAGGAGGACATGAATTAGGTAGGACTGCCTTACTTTTTTTTTTTTTTAATTTAAGGGTTAATAGTAGCAAACATAAGAAACAAGCAAGGAAAGATAAAATAAACAAACAAACATGAGGTTGAAGTTAAAAATAAAAGTTGAAATGTCAAAAAACACGTGTTAGCATAGGAACTGCCTTTCTGGAGGGCCCAGCTGATTTTTTCAGGGATCACCTTCGCAAGTCATGCAAATTAATTGGGCTTATGTTTTGACCCAAAATATTGGGCTTCTGAAAGTACTTGAAGCCCATCAGGAATTACCTTAGACTTGTCTCCATCTATCATATTATCTATTTGGAGCAAGATTGCCACTTGGGCTGCCAATTACCAAAAGTTTTCTCGAGATTCAGACACATTCTTGAGTTGATAATTTTGTGAGCTCCAAAGATATATTTGTGTATACATCCATGCTGGTGCCTGGTGGGACTGTGTAGAACCCATCATATATTCTAATTAAATCCCATCTATGTTTAGTGCGTAAAGAAAGAAAGTTGTAAGTACTCAAGCAGCTTCATGTGCATGATGGTTTAAAAAACATAGCCAATTTAAAATATACAGGCTTATAAGTTTGAGTCCTTAAGAGACAAACCAGCTGTTATTGACAATTATTAATTGATGGAAATTTCAGTTTTTCAAATTTTAGTGGGTTGGACAATTAATGATCGAATCCAGTTTTTAGATAAAAGGATGGGTCACCTTTGATGTTCCCAAATCATTGACAAAGTCAAAAAAATAACGGAAGGGCAACGCAGGAGGTAATGGGGGGCATTCAAGGATTGAAGTTGACTCCTTTGAGAAAATTGTGATGGAGCAATAGGCATCGATGAGGACTAATGCTCCTGAAACTGGCACCCATGCGTTTCATGTAACACTCAATGCTTATGATTTAATATCAGTTTAAATAAAAAAAAAGTTGAAAACAAATCACTTTAAATCAAAATCGTTGAGAATTTTGATCCAAAGGTGATAAAAGAAAAGGAAGGAAAAGGAGATCAGGTTCGTCTATAATGTGACGAGGAATCTAAAATAAGAATGCATGAAATTCCTGTTTGAAAAAAAAAAAAAAAGTCCCCACAGGCTCCCCACAAAGCTGACAGATCTATTTCCCAGCCCAATGCAGAATGAAGGCACAAATTCATCATGTTGCCTGTCTTTTTCTTCGAGTTTTTGGTCTGCCCAATTTTTTGGAAGTGGAGCTGCACATAGTTTAGGATTCCTAATTTAATTTTGTGCAAACACTTTAAGCTAAATTTCTAACGGAATCTTCTTTCATAATTGAGCCATACTTTTGAGCAATTTCACCCCGAAGTTGATTGTTTGCGTGATCAAGAGACTCCAATTATTTCATGTTGGCAATAATCGCTTTGGTATATGTTCCTTCATATCAATTATGAGACATGTTTGCCTTAAATTAACTTATCATATACTGGATTAATGAGAATTTGGATCCAAATTTTTAATACACAAATTTTATGAATATGAATATGAATATGAATATGAATTTGGGGTGACATGGAGGGGAAGAGAGCTGGTCATCTGAATTTTCATTTTTCTCCACCGTTGATTCGCTCCCCATCCAACAGCACTCGTGTTGACACATCATACCGTTGTTTCCCTCCCTCCCTCCTCTCTCTCCTCCCCACTTTCTCTCTCCCTGCAAGTTTCGACCGTGGCGTCTTTCCCTCCAACGACGATGATCAGCCTCTATGCCCCCCACCCAAAACCCTCTGCTTCTGATGAATCCATTACGTCCTCCAACATCAAAATACAACAAAAGAAAGATAAAAGCCACACGTATGATATATCGACATTGCACTCGGGCAGATCCGTTCACTCAAGCACCAAAACTCTGAAAGCCAAGCTCGTCGAGAACCTAAAATCAAAATGGTGAACCCCAGGTTTTGGGTTTATGCTAGTAGTTACTACGAGCCTCTGTAGGATGAATTACAAGGCTACATTCAATGCCCCAAGTTACACATCAACAAATTGTTGTATGTGTGTCAAAAGTGTGTGTGTGTCAAAGTCTCGTATTGATTAAAAGAAATACTCTCCTGGTGTATATATACTAAGGAATGAAGTGGGCTAGTAAAATGAGCTTGGAAGAGAAGTGGCCTCGCGCGCATGAGACAGGCCAACTCAGGGCAATCGCAGTTGAAATCAACCGATTCGCCCCCCTGCGCGCGAGTTCAAGAGGTAGTAGGTTTCTTTTACCGGATTATCTTTACAAATAAATAATTATTTTGACTTGCCGGAGAAACTCAAATTTTGACTGTCTGGAGTTTGAATTCAAACCAAGAACCTTTTTTTGATCATTAAACAAATTAATTTTTCTAAACGTTTGTCTTCCCAACGTTTTCAGATAGGAGGTTGAATGCGTTTACATACGTTTGTGTAACCCCAACGTTTCCAAACAAGCTTTTAAACAGTTTTTATGAGAGTGTAACCGAGCTTTTAATCCGGTAGTAACTCTCCAACGTTCATGTCCACCTTCGGGCTATATATAGCCATGGGTGCAGATAGAGCGAAAAACAAGCCTCTTGAGTTTTCGGGGTTCTCTCTTCCTCCCTCTGTAAATCTGTCTGTGTTCGTCTGTGCTTGCATTTGGTCTTCATTGTTCTGTTCCCTTGTTCCACCGAGGAGGTGCTTGTTTAATCCTGGAGAACTGCCGGACGTCGGAGGGTGTGCCGGAATAATTCTTAAGGACAGTGTCCTTCCGGGCACGACTCAAGCAACCAATCAGGAGTTCGCTGTACACGTCTACCGCGGTGTCGCTATCACGTCTGCCGCCGGTGTCGCCAACACAAATAAAGCCAGCTCAAACCCAAAATTTCCTCATCACAAAATGAAATTAACATAAGTTTTCAATCAAGATTTAATCACTACAGCTAGCAATCAGCACAGCGATTTGAGAACACGGGGAAGAAAATGAACAATATTGCACTTTCTATCGGGTAACTATGTTCTCTGAGCTGGGATTATCAGCAAAGCAGTGATGAACGAATTTTTGAAGCATTGAGGCAAGGTCTTTCAGAAGAGCACGTGTTCGATGGGGTACCTATACGTCTCTATCGCTGCTCGTGTTCAATGCTCCGACACTCCGAGCTGCTGAGGTTGGTCCAAATGCAGTCACCCTCGTCCAGAAATCGAACATTTTTGCTAGATCTGCCATTCAGATCTATGATTCTGACGCTCCTAGGTCCGTTGGCTGAGCAACGGCGAAGCCGATCAAAGATGAGACAGTGGCGGTGGGAGGGAGAGAGGGATTCATGGCTAAGCAACAGTGGTGCCGATCAAAGATGAGACGGTGGCGGATTCATGGCGGAACAAACCGCTCTTGAAAAATATTACAAGTATTTATAAGAAAAAATAACATCTTAACAAATGTTTGTATTTTTTGATAGATTACTTTTATGGCTGCCGGTTATGAAAATACCTTGAGCAATAAAAACAAAATTTATCTTAAGATAACTACAACTAAATAATTAGAAAAATTATGCATAAATCTTGTAGAATATATTTATTTATATATAAGTTTCACAAAATTTAAAAATCACAGCCAAAGTTCTTAGGACTCGAGTATATTGAAATTGAGATGCAAAGACTACATTATATTAATTAAATAATTTATAATTATTTTATCAATAATTTACAATAATTTATAATTATTACTTTAACCTTTTACAATTGTAATTTTTTATATTTAATAATTAAATTGATCATGTGTTACACATTTAATATTAATCATGTGCAACTATTTTGTAATTAATTTACAACTAATATTTCAATATTTTATAGCTATAGCTTCATATATATACACAATTTTTCCTAAATAATTTAGTAGGGAATCCATGCAAAATAAGAGTATGTTTTCAACAAAAAATTTGAAAATTATAATTTAAACTTTCATATTTACAGCTTGAAGGTCCTCATTTTATATTACTCTTTGTATAAGATCTTTAATTATCACTTTTCCTTTTTTTGCCAAAAGATTTCTTTGCAATTGTAGTTCCAACTTCAAAATCAAAATAATGAATAATATCATAAAGATAAATTAATTATATATTATAAATTCCATAGGAATTCAAAGAAAATACTGAAATTTGGTAAATTTATCTTCTTTACTGATCACTATTAAGTTGCTTAGAAGAAATTTAATGTCAAATGGAAAAATTAATATAAAATCCAAGAGATTTTAGTTAAAATACTTTTTTTATTCTATTTATAAAACACATTTTATAAAAAAAATTTGATTCAAAATATAAGATATCTTATAATAATTAAATTATTTTTTTAATTTTATCTCTTTTTAATTAACATAAAGGTTTTTAATATAGTATTATTAAAAGTTAAGGATAAAAATAAAAATATATTTTACTTTTTTATGATATAAAAAAAGCTAACTTTTTTATGAAATATAAAAGTACATCTAACATTTTAGACTAAATCCATTTAAAAAAAATTAGAATTAAATTTGGTTTTATAAATTTTTTAAGAACATGAAATATTTTAAATTTAATTCAAATAAGCCTGATTTACCAAAATTATCTAGCCTAACATGAAACGGTTGAAAATGTGACGGAGTAATTTGCATTGTTTAATTACAAAGTTGCCACTCTGCATCTTCCTCACATGCCCGAAAATCCCAAGGAACTTCGGCCTCCAGGGCCTCTTCCCTCCCGACACCTCGTCTCGTCTCGACCAGCTTCGTGTTCTCAGTCTCCGCAATAACTCCTTATCTGGTTCTCAGCTCCGAATCTTCAATGTATCTGCAAACAATTTCACATATCCTCCTCCGATTTGGCCCACCCTCGTTTTCGGGAAACCAGTATCCCTGAGGGGAGATCGTTCACACGGCATGCAATTCTCACTCCCCGTTTCTGTCCCTCCAATGCCTCCAGCTCCCCGAGCTGAATTGCAGGGAATCGTGGTCGTTCCTTCGCAGAGACGCGCGCTGAGAGACAAAGTAAGAAGGAGCCACCGTCACAGTGAAGAACAAGCAATGAAGGAGAGAAAGGTAATTAAATGAAATGACCTTTTCTTTTGCATATTGTAAGATTTCGCATTGATTTGGAGTCATAGATTTTGATGTTAAATGTTTTTTCCCTCCCTTGTTAGGAAGAAAGAAAAAAAATTGAAGGATGGAGGGAGCTTTTTCGAGGTTGGGAGTGTGGAAAGAAGAAGATGCAGAGTGCAAACTTATTTGCACCAAATTTTCTTAGGATTTTAAATTGCTTTCCCCATTTTACGAGATTTGAGGGTAAATTAGAGTCTTTTTGTGTTCAATAGTGATTTTCCCCAAATTGAAGGCACCCAAAGTAATTCAACGCATGCTTGGTTACTATTTTTGAAAAATCATGACTTTTAGAAGTTAAATATTATCTTTGTAATTTTTTCGTTTCAGAAAATTAATGTACAATATTTCTAAAAGTGCATTTACCAATAGTTAATCTGGACTACTTTTTAAAAGCTGCATTTCACTTTTAAATAACTTTCAGTTAGTTGTTAATAGGGATAATGAAATCTTAGTCCTCTAAATTTACATCATTTACTGATTTTTTCCTTAAATGTACATTTAGGGTTCTTAGCATGAGGGCCATTATTGACGGTCATTTTTCTCCTACATTCATCTCTGTTTTCTGTCTTGGAAATGAAAGTTTAAAAATATAGTCCTTGCAAACAAACACACACTATAGTGATTAAATATTACTTTCACCTGCAAAACTATTTATGTTGCATTTTGCTCTCCTAGTTTCAATTTTTTCAGCCTCACGCTGTTAAAACTTGGAGAATTAAAAAAAAAAGAAAAAAAAACTCCAAGGACCAAATTGAAAAGGAAAAATTTGACACACAAGTTGCAAATCTATTATAATGAAATTATTATAAAATTATTTCTTAAATTATTAAAAATAATTTTTAAGAATTATTTTTAAGTTCAAAATAAATTAAAATCATTAAAATATATTATTTTATAAATTAATTTTTTTAAATAAAAATAATATAAAATTTATAAAAGTGTATAGTTTAATAATATATATTTAAAATTTTAATTTAAGACATTAAATTCATTGCAACTCAACTGATAGTAAGAGAGCATTATAGGCAAAACATTATTAAGACAAAATTCTCACAAACATTCGAAAAAATTAGAAAGAAGTTTCTCTAAGATTTTTTTCGAGTGCAACATTTTTTTAGATTATTCTGACAAAATATTTTTTTCAGAAAATTTTGAGAGTATTTTTTAAAATTTTATTCTCTCAAATTTATTACGTTTTCTTTATATTAGTTTTGAGATAAATGTATTGTTTTACTATAGTAAAATTTGAATCCATATTTATCCTTGAACCTAAGAGACAAAGATAACTTCACTGACATATTTTTCAAGAGTTAGGACTTTTAAAAATATCCCTTGTCTTTTATTATATAAAGCTCCTTCTGCTTGATGGATCAAGTCTACTTGCTTTGTCTTGTACAAAGCAATTTCACTTTAAAAAAGGTCATCCACGTGCATTACATGTGAGTACCATGAATGTGTAAATTTTGTTACTTCATCCCCCCAGTTTATCTCATCTACAATATTATTTGCCCTATTTTTGAATGGGTTAAAGTTTATTTTTATTCTCAAACTATTTTTGAGAAGCACCGGATACCCTATACTTATAAATAAGACAATTTTCCTCATAACCATTTAGTCAAGAAGCAAAAAACCCTCATTCCATTAGTCACTCGTGAATTTTGCTATTTTCTACTAACATGGCATGTGCATGGGATCCACTAGTAGATAGGACTCTAATTATATTTTTTGTACTAATTTGCTTTTAAGTTCTTTCTCTAAAAGTGATAAGTACCTTAAAGTCTTGTCAAAATATTAAATACTCCTTCTATACAAAAATATAAGGCATTTTTAACAAAATCTTACTCCCAAAGTAATTACCTACTCTCAAACTTACTCTATCTTTCCATATTTATCCCTATTAAGCACCCTACAATAAATATAAAGTTATTTATCAATAGAAGTATTTTTTAAAGAAAGACAATGATTACACATTAAAAGATTAAAAATGCCATACATTTTTTAACATATAACTCCTCAAAAAATGCCTTACATTTTTGAACGGAGAGAGTAATTTTAATATCTAATAATTTAAATGTCATTATTTATAAATAATCATCCAAATTTATAAGCTATTTTTTAAATAAAATATTAATAGCTCAAAATAGTTTTTCATAAATTTATAGATGATTTGTAAATTGTGTGCAAAAATTTGTAAATAATAACAATAATATTTACAAATAAATAATACAAAATGACTTTATAAAAAAATTAATATTGATTATGTTTCTTAAATTTTTTAGGTTATTCTCTGTAATTTTTATAGTCAACTAACGGTCTTTCTCCAAAATATTACACCACAAAAATTTAATATTTTAATATCTTAATATTTTGTAACTTTGTATTAAAAATGAAGGGAATGGACCTCTTATTTAGTAGTTCATTTGATGAATATGAATTACTCTAGATATATCATAGTTAATATATTTTTAGTCTAGTTGGAAAGTTGAGCAAGTAACACTTTAATTCTAAATATCTGTTAATTTAACTGTTGGTTGAACAAAAAAATTATAAAAAATAACCTAAAAAATTTAATGGACTTAATTAATATTAATTTTCTTATAAGATCATTTTTTGTAACTTATTTGTAAATATTATAATTAGCATCAGACACCCTCACTACCAAAAAAAAAAAAACAAAAAGACTTAGTCATAACTTAAAGCAACGACAAAAAAAGTCATCACCAAATGTTCACTTTTGATGGCAAAAAGTTATTGCTAAAAACCTTCAACAATAATTTTTGAACTTTTAAGTTGACTTTTTGTTGTTGTCAAAATTGATTTTTTGTAAGATCTGTATTAATAAGTAAGATAATTTTTCTTATAAATTATTTTTTAGATAAACAAAAATTCCCTCCATTAATGATTCGTTAATGGATCAGAGGGGGGATTTTTTTTTTGCTGCTCTTTTGAAAAATAATTTTAAAAAATGCTCTTCTTAATATAGTACATGATGCCTAACATTCTTAGAAGGAAAATATAAAAAGAAAAATGCATTGAAAACTTCAATTGTTAGAGTGTTAATAGTTATGAAAAGGGGAAATCAAGTACACATGACATTAATAACAAAATAATAAAACAGTATATTACATATGAAGAAACTAATTCCAATTTTAAAAAAGTCATCACATATATTAAATATGAATACTAGCTATCATGCTGTAATATGTGAACTTTAAAATTTTATAATATGAGTTCGAAGTTTAAGAACACATACACACACAGACACTTGTATTATTTATATGTATAATTAACAAACCAACTGATTAACAAATAAAAAATAATTATTAAATTTTTTAAAATTATAGTATAAGTGATTAAATAAACTAGAAGCATAAATAAAATATTGTAAATATCAGCCTGCAAATAAAATGTCTTGTAAAGTTTTGTCAAGTATTTGTTACTTAAGGGGAATAACTGAAGCATGCACGGCAAGATCACCTGCAATATAACGCACATATTAATTCGTTTTTATTGGCAAACTATATATTATTAAATTGTTAGAGTGTTGATGATTACAAAAAAGGGCAATCAAGTACACATAACATTAATAACAAAATAGTAAAGAGACCTAGAGAGGACCCGTATTCTAGCCCCACTGAAAACTTCTTGGGCAACGAGAAAGCTAAGAGATCAATGGAGCTATTGTTTTATAAATATGTAAACATTAGGACTGTGCATGGGCAGGGTCGGGCAATCTATTAACCCGATGCCCTGCCCTAAATGTCTTCGGGCAAAAAAATTATGCCCAAAGCCCGACCCTACCTAAAAGATGCCCGACTTTGGAGGGGCCGGGCGGGCAGGGTCGGGCAGGGATCGGGCACCTCGGGCAGGGTCTCCAACCTTGCCCTACCGAAATAAAAAATCAGAACCATCCACACAAATCTGAAATACACTGTAGCAAATTAATTATTTCCATCAATAAATCACTTCAAGCTTTTATTTTAAAAGTAATAGATTGTTAAATATCACTAACAAAAATATTATGGTGTCATCAAAAAACTTAATGGCAAAACAAATATGGAAGGAATTTTTCATGCAAGTCACAAGTGCTGTCCAATTCCAAATTCTAAGAAATATAAAAATATTTAACCTAAGGTTTACAAACTTGATCATCAAGGCATCTAAAAAAAAAGAATTACCATTTATGTCCCCATCAAGTTAAAAAATTATATCCTAAATTATTATTTTTATAAAAAAATATATTATATCTCGGGCCGGGCAGGGTCAATTAGTTGGATACCCCAGCCCTAAACCCTGCCCAACCCGAAGATCGGGCTCAGCCCGACCATGCCCAAACAGAATTGGGCAATTTTTTTAGGGCTCGGGTTAGGCATATTTTGCTCGGGTCGGGCCGGGCATCTCGGGCTCATGGGCATCCTGCACTGGCCTAGTAAACATTATGATCAGGATAGAAGATGTCCCTTTGAAAATATCATATGAAGAGGGTTTGCTTCAAAGTTAAAAGCCTAAACCAGAAATTTTTAGAGAATAGAATGTCATCAATCCTTTGTTATTTATTTATGATTTCTAAAATAAAGGATTAGGAACTTATAACTCAAGTCTAACTCTAACAAATTGACATCAACTTATCATTCTTAGTACGTAGAAAAATTATTTAATTTGCAGCTTTAGTATTTTATATAGAAAGAGATAACCAAACTTTTAATGCCTTAAATTTATCTCGATTATTGACTTGATCTGTGAAATTTAATTTTTATCAAGCAAGTTCATAATGTTTCATAATCATATATAATTAGTTCTTATAATGTTATTTTTCCTTTAAGCTAAAATGACTAATTGTGTATGTTTTTGAAACCTTAGAGACTTAATTGATAAAAAATAAATTTTAGAGACCAAATCAATAATGGAAGCAAAGTTGAGAGGTAACTATTTAATTAAGTCAGCAATTCAAGTCTTCATTCCTAACATTATTCAAAGTCTTTAATTTAGGATGAAGGTCAAGCTTCCAAATCAACCATTTATCCTTAAAAAGTTAATATGTATGTATGTATGTGCATTATAATTCAGTTAGTTTAGTTAATTTAATTTTAATTTTAAAATTTGCAGATCAATCAAATTGATCAACTGAAATTTTCTAAAATAAAAAATCCAATCGAACTAAATAACCAAATACTTTTTGATATGTAGAGATTAGTTTACAAATTTTTAGTTTAGGTTGTTTTCAGAATAAGCGGGAGTGGCTTACCAAGTAAATTTTTTTGGCATTTGTAATTGGGAATAAAATCAATTTTTTATTTCTTTATTAAGGCAGTGAGTGACGTATTACAAATTTGTAAGTTTCGTCACACATACCTACATAGGTACATATGGTTTTGGATAATTTATTTTTTATATAGCCAATTCACTTAAACTCGAGCAATGCTAAGCCTAATTGGAAGTAGTTCACTCAAAAATATTTGATATATTCATGTAAGTTTAAACACAATATATTGCGCAATCACGACTTCTTTTACAGGACCAATGTGGTGGATTGACTTTTGGGGTTTTTTTTTTATGTTCACCCCCAAAAATCAGGTACATTAGGCTCAATTAGCAATGCTTGTTTAGGCCCAAAGGTTGGGCTTGTGGGACTATTTGAAGCCCATAAGGAGTCACACTAGACGTGCCTCCATCAATCATATTGTCGTGGTTTAGGACTAAGGTTGCCACTTGACTGCAGAGTCCAAAAAGTTGTCTTGAGATCCAGACAAACACCTGAGTTGGTAATTTGAAAGCTCCAAAGATATCTTTGTGTATATATTGATGCTGGAGGAACTGTATAACCCATCACGTGTTCTAATTAAATATCGTCAAGTTGAAAACCAGGAAACCACACAGTATCGAGGTCAAGGGTTTGTTATTAGAACATTTTTCAGTGACTGATCTACTAGCTAGTTCAATCGTTGCTCAACTGAGAGAGAGGGATATATATATATATATATAGAGTCTATTTTCTGAATCTATTCATGTTACAACCTATTGTGTTATCTCACTAAGACCGACCAATTACATGCATTACATTATGCCATTTTATTAATTAAGGTCTCAACTGATTTAAAAAATTGTTCTTTTTTAATTTGTATTATCAACGTTATGCATCTTTCCCTATTACAAGAAAAAAACAATATTATATACAGAACCAACCATGACTAATAAGTAATAACAACTGATTTTAAGAAATTAAATCAATATATTTACATAAAATCTATTACCAAAAAAATTACTAAAATCATTATATAAAATCCGTCAAATTTCTACAAGTTTGTTAAATCATTACAAAACCCATGAACTATAATCTAAAGTACAACATAATTATTGAAGGAAATCAAAGCTAACTCAGAAAGTAATTAAAAGCTTGACATCTACACTTGTAATACGCATGTCTTCGATAGCGTAACGCCACTTCGTCCGCCTTTGCAGGGTTCGTCATAAAGACTCGAGATGACATATTAAAATATGCATAACAATAACCTGCTGCATTACAAATAATTAATTTCAAGGGCACTAAAACTCCAAAATATGAAATGTATAGGATCTAAAGCATGCCTTCTTAACATAGTTATTTTATGATGTAAATATTTATGGGGAAAAAATTAAAACAATCAACATTATATTTTTCTTCGGAAAAAAAAAAAGCTTAGTTAAAACATAAACGAGTAGCTTTTGTTCACTTACCAAAATGCCAAGACGTTCAACAGAAACGATTCATCCTGAGGACCATCAACACATAAAGCTTGTCTCTAATGTGATGGAGGAATCGGAAGTAAGAACAATCTCTATCTAGTCATGTATCCACGTGGAAAAATTTATCGAGGTGTGAGCTTAATCAGTGCTTATTCAACACCACATCATCCTTAGTTACAAGAGACTAACAGATTTAGAAGCAATCATAGACAGGGGACTTAAACCTTTAACTGTGTAAACTATAAGGATCCAATAAAAAGAAAAAAAAATTACAAGGACCTGATTTAAAAATTGGTAAAACTATAAGGAACTGCAAAATTTAATTTTCCCCTTGTCTTCCCACTTAACTGCCTGCTGGAAGTCGACCGGATGAGGTCATATATGCAAAACAAAACCATTGCTTCGCAGTCAAACAACTTTACAAGGCGACGCAAGAAGATCTTCTGTGAAATTCTTTGGTTTTGTTGTTTGTGAATATCTTCCCTGTATATAATGAATATTACAAGATTACAATAGGTTCTTTGTCATGGAATAGAATGAAAATATAAAATTATAAAGTTATTTTGTAAATAAAAAAAATGAAGCTGGGCCCAGCCTAGAATTTTTCTTTGAATCATAATTTTTCTAATAATATTGTGAGCAAAGTTCAAAAGAGATGAGTGTAATTTATTTTATTTTAGAAAAATTTGTGTAAATTTAATTTAATTTTCAGATGAACCGTAAATGACAAATTGTTTGTTGCTAAATGAAATGGCATTTTTTCAGAAACATTTGCAGTGAGTAGATTGAATACTTTGATAGAGTTTTTCTTTTTACAACATAAAATTTAAGTGACTTAAGTTCTGAAAACTCATTACAACTAATTGAATTATGAATTCTCATATTGGTAATAAGATTTAAAACTCACAAACTTGTGAATTAAATCTTTATTAATTAGTTTAACTTTTGTTGCCATACTTAAGAGAGGTTTTCTTTCTTTTTTCCTCATTTAATTTTTTTCATTTCATGGTATATTTTGGTATAATTATTTTATTTGCAAATTATAAATTTATAATCAAGTGCAAATAATAATAAAATAAGAAAAAGAGACATGGAGGGCCAGATATACGAGCCCCCAGTAAAGATCAAGAAATCAAAGTGTCTATTATGATGAATGGGCTTAATATTTCTCAAAACTTGGGCCTGAGAAAGGGACCAATGGGCCATCTACTATTGTAATGGACTTGATCTCGGGCTCCAATAACCCCACCCCTTTCATAGACTATATCAATCCCCTGCCTTATAATATCTAAATTAAAAATAATTGATTAATTCTTATTAAAAAAAATATTTATATTTAGTGTTCGGCAATACTTCTAATAACTTTTTGAGTAAATGCATGGTACTACAACAATAGAACTTTATTTTACTTATAATTTTTTCTCTCCCAAAGACATCAAAAGAATTAATATTCAGAATCTAAAACATGTCTTCTTGTCATAGTTTTTTATTATATAAAAATAAAATAAAAGATATATTTCAAACAAGATTATTTCAAATAGTATAATAAAAAAATAAAGTAGATTTGTAACGATGTAAAAATATTATATTATTATATTATTACCAAAAATATTATATTATTATGAACAAGGTCAGATTCAAAGCACAAAAGTTTTTTAAAAAATAATTTCAAAACCTAAACGAGAATTTTTTAGAGGAGAAAATAACAATATTTTTTATTTATCAAATTAGTAAACATACATTGTTATTTTTGTAAAAAGCCAATTTGATGATTTTATATAAACTTGGTTGTAGGCCACATGCTTTGCAATTTGCATCGGGGGGTCGCAGCATCAAAGGTAGGGAAAGAAGAATTTCAAATTCAATAAATAATAATATAACTAAATTTTATACCGTGCCATTCATAGAAACATTGAATTGGAATGAAAAAGATCAGAGATTTTTTAAAAAAAGTTGTATGATTCTAAGAAAAACTACGTATAAAATCACATTTTGTTATATATTTTAATATGTCATTGTATATTGATGTATTTGATCAAAAGATTCGAATACACATCAATTTATGGGGAAAAAATCAACCAACATATATCTTAAAAAAAAACCATGTGTTATTATAAACTTTCAAGTTATTTGCTTTTGTTTATTAAAAACAGACGTTTCCACTTCATTTACGGACACATACCTATTAAGGGTGCAAACTGCACGCAGAAAATGAAACTATATATTACACAATTTCAAATCAAGTAAACAAAATAAAATTAAGCTGGCTAGGCTACGAAACTAGTGATAGTGAGTAACGCCACTCCATCGTGTATTCGTGTCTTGCAAAGTTCAATCCAAGACTTGAAGAGAATTGCTGAAGCATGCACAACAACAAGAACCTGTGTAATGCATAAATATAAACATAAGAACAAATAAATATGCTTGAGATCAGAGAGTAGAATTTGTGACTCGAGAATATTGTGAGAACAAATAAATGTGTCTAATATATTTCAAAGAAGAGGGCAAAAAGCTTAGTTTGAAGAAACCAAAATGAGAAGCTCTTTTGACTTACCACAAAGTTGCAATAACATCAAATTTCAACCGAAGCGATTCATTGTGAGGGCCACCATGACATAGAGTTTGTCTCTTATACTGAATAGGAATCTGAAGTAAGAATTCCTGAAACTACTAATGCAAAAAATGGCAATACAAACTCCCCAAAAGGCCACGAAAAATCCAACTCCTGATGCAATGTAGAAGGAAGCTAGGAATTCATCTTCTTGGTCGGTGTCATTTTCTTCAATGGGTTTCACGTCTTTTTTGTCAGAACAATTCTTTGGAAGTGGAGCACCACAAAGTTCAGGATTGCCAATATAGCTTAGTTCATCAAACCCTTGAAGTTGAGTCCCTAATGGGATCATTCTAGAGAAATTGTTGAAAGACAGGTTTAAGGTTCCCAAAAAAGACAATTGAGCCAAACTTCGAGGAATTTCACCTGAAAATTTATTGTTTGCAAGATCAAGAGACTCCAATTGGTTCAACTTGCCAATCTCTTTTGACACGCTTCCCTCAAATTGATTATGGGACAAGTTCAAAGAATGCAATTCAGATAGACTAAAAACTTCTTGAGGTATTATTCCAGACATGTCATTATTTGATAGATCAATAGCACGCGTGAACTTCACATTTTCTTCATAGATCAGTTCAAGTCCTTTTATATGCAACATAACATTGTCACCATATATAGAATTGGAACAAAATATTTTACCGCAAAAAGTGGTAACCACATTACTTGAAGAAGCTTGTCTCATGGCTGTCATGTTATGCAGGCAACTAGGTATTATACCTGAGATTTTGTTATATGCGAGATCCAATATTATGAGAGATTCTGATTGGCATATTTCTGGTGGGATATTTCCACTGATCTGATTGGATCTAAATTGAAGAATCTTTGCATTGTGCCCTATCCACTTTGGTATGGATCCTGAAAATTTATTTCCTCCAACATCAAAGATCTGTAGGTTCTGGCAATACTTCAGTGACAATGGTATCTCTCCAAACAAGTTATTATTATTAAGATGCAAAATCTTAAGATTAGCCAAGAAACTAATTGATGGTGGAATTGTACCTGACAGATTATTGTCACCAAGCCTAATAATAACCAAAGCTTTCCAATACATCCAGCCATTTGTAAGCCCTCCAGATAAGAGATTATTAGACATGTCCAGGTACCTTAATTTGCAGGTACCTTAATTTGCTTCTGCCATTCATCTTTTGACACAATAATGAAGAAATAGATCCTTGAAAGGAGTTATTTCTTACACTGAATGTGAGAACATTTGGTGCTAAACGAGGGAGGTTTCCTTTAAATTTATTATAACTCAAATTTACGTATGTAGAGTTCAGTAACACACCAGATATGTCCCAATCAATTGTATTATTTTGTAAACAGAAGCATCTCAACTGTGTTGCAAAATTCCAAAAGTTATCTTGAGATTGAGATGAAATACTTGAGGAGACAATTATTAACACTCTAAGAGATTTTTGTGTATATATCCATTTAGGAAATATGGAATTCACCATGTGTACCATATGTAAGTCTATGAGTTGAAAAGGAGGAACCCACAACAAATCAAAGTCAAAGATTAAGCCTGGAGATCCCATGCCAAGAACTTTCAAATTTGAGAGTCTGACGAAATTTCTTTCAGACACATACCCCATCAAGTGATTATCATGAAAAGATAACATCTCCAAGTTCAAGAGCTGTCCAAGACTTTCTGGAAGACTACCATTTAAGTTATTCGAATTGAGATTCAAAGCAATCAAGGATGATAGATTTCCCAAAGCAGGTGGAATAGGGCCACAAATTAAATTGTCACTAATATCAAGAACTTGTAAATATTCAAGTTGGACTACCCAATCTGGAATTGATCCACTCAGTTTATTGCCATGCAAATCCAAGCTTTTTAATTTTTGAAGATTCAACAATCTCTCAGGCAATTGGCCCTGAAAGTAATTATAGCTTAGGTTGACAGAGGTGATGACATCCTAAGATTGAATAACCAGTTTGGAAAGAATTCAGAGTTAAAAGTATTACTAGAAAGGCTAAGAACTTCAAGTGATGTAAAATTTACATACTGGAGATATGGATTGATGTTTTGAAGCTGGCAGCTATCCAGGCGCAATTCTGAAAGGGAAGGAAGTGAAGTTGCTATTTGAAGCCAATCAACTTTCCCATGAAGATTAATGCCACTAAAGTTGATGCATTTCAAGGAGGAGAAATTATAAAGCCAATGAAGACTGTCAATGAAAAGATCTTCATTATAAGATAAGTCCAGGTAATGAAGATTAGAAGAATTTTGATCATACGAAGGAACATAATCATGTTGTATGATGGCTTAGAAGTCATGATTGCTCAAATCAAGATAATTCAAAAACTCAAGTTGGAGCAATATTGATAGGTAGAAATCACCCGTGAGACAATGAGATTTCTTCTCCTCACAATCATAATCATAGGCTTCTAGAGAACAAGGAAGACTGAGTTTGATGACTCTACCTGTGGTGTTGTCACACTGAATTCCTACCCATTCACAACAATCTCTGCCATCATCGGACCAACTAGAGAGGATGGATGATGGATCACCAATTGTGCGTTTGAAGTTTAGGAGGACATGGCGATCTTTTTCATGGCACTGTATCCTCAAACTCTGCTTGCCTTCGTGGAACATGATTGCAGATATTAGTACCAATAGGAGCCAATGATTAAAGATATGGGAGAGGAATGAGATATCCATGATAACTCAAGATATGGTTTGATATGAACTGTGTAAAGGGATTGCCACCACCGTTGAGTTAGCAAAAATTTAATGGCATATCTAATTAGCACGGAGAGAATATTCTATGAAATTGATTGCTTATGTTTATGACGTAAACCATGACACAAGTGGTGTGGAATTGGTTGCAGTGGGACCTTTAGTGACGCATGACAAAGGATTTTTTTAAGAGTGTCACTAATAAACATTGTGACATCATTAGAATTTTCAAAGCAGATAGTTGATTTGTCATAAAATGTCGACAATTACACGACAGACGACAGCCTTCCATTCTTTAACAATTTTGATGTTTTTGCTTCAATAATCTAACTTCGATTACGTTAACTGTGGTTGTTCAGCTGAATTGCGGCTCAGGTTAATTACTTAGCTGAGATTTTTGGGCCCCTCCCTCTATTTCAAAATATTGCCAGGTTCTTCGAGACCACTGGTTCCCATTAGTCTTCATGACATTAAAAAATAAGTGTTGAAAATATGAAAGATGAGTATATTTGAAAAATTAATTCAGAGAAAATTTAATTCCAGTAAAGGATATAATTTTTTTGAAATTTAAAATTTTCAAGATACTTAACGGTAAATAATATTTTTAAATGGTGTTTAAATGTCCTTCTCTCGTAAAATTTTCATCCCAGCCTGCAGCCGCGATGACTTTCATTTCGAATGCTGGGCCTCGATTTCAGCTACCACCACTCCTTTCCTTCCAGCTGGTTTTCACACACATGGATGGTTATTTTTCCACCAGCCAAGAATTCTCGATTTTTGTGTAATTATTCCTACTCTCGCTTTATTTAATATTTTTCCAAATTATCATCATTAATTTCACTGTTTCTTTTTTTAACTATCCTTCTCTCTCGTATTAGCAATACCCACATTTAATATCCTTATTAAAAGAGGGAGCATTTAAAAAAACAAGTTTTTATATAATAAATATTTCATTCATCTCAATTTATAAGGTATATTCTGGCAAAATCTTATATTTATAATATTAACTTTTTTATAATCTTTCAAAAATTTCATTTATTAACAGGAAAGAGTCAAATAAATTTATTTAACAAGTAAAATCATGAGAAGTAATATTAAAATAATCATTGTTAATAATTTTTTTAAAAAAATATTTTATAGTTTGAGATATCAAATCACTTAAAAAATGTCTTAGAAAATGAGATCGACATAATAACAAATAATTCACTTATTAAAAATACAAGATGATTTATTTGATAACAATTGCTTAAGTCAACAGTCAAAGTCTTCGTTCCCAATTACAATATCATAGTCAAAGTCGTTCAATTAAATATGAAGGTCAAGTTTTCACATTTGCGTGTCATCCTTTTCGAACCTCTTTTGACCCGTTTGTTTTGGTTTCCATTTTCAATTGGTTACACGACGTTAAATAAAATCATTTCCAAAATGACAATTGAAGACACCATAAGCATATTAATAGCAACCATAACACTTTGAATTATTGAGATTACAATAACAGGCCATTATCCTTATTTATAATAAATTATTTTTTATTAATTGATTTGAGATTTATAATAAATTGGCTAAAATGCATAAAATCCTCGTGAACTTTGAGACAATTGTATATAACCCCCATCACCTTTAAAAGTTTAAAATTAACCCTATTAATCTTTAATTTTTTTTTCAAAAGCCCCTATTATTAATTATGTTATTTTTTCATGAGGGTTAAAATATCATTCAACTAAAAAATATTTTTAAATATGATATTATATTATTGAACTATGGCTTATTAATTTCTGATATTTTTTGGATTGTTGAGGCATTGATAATAGCCAAAACAAATGTTATTATCATCATATAAAATTTTAAATATTTAATTTTTTGTTATTTTTACCTATTTTTGTTATCAATGGTGCATTGTTTTCTAATATTAAAAGATAAATTAATCTAATTGGTAATATTTAAAATTTTAAATATTTTAGCCATGTGCATTACATTAATCTAACATGAAAATAAAAATAAAAATTTATCTTTTGAAAAAATAAAATCATGCACCATTGATAAAAAAGGATACAACTAATATAAACATAAATATTAAAAATTTTATATAATGATAATAAATTTTTTTTTGTTATCAATGTCTCAACTATCTAAAAAATATAAGAAATTTATTATAAATAGTTATACAATATAAATTTTTTTTAATAATATTTTTTAGTTGAATGACATTTAACCCTCATGATAAAATAATATAATTAACAATAGAGAGTTTTGAAAAATAAAATTAAAGGTTAAGAGAGGTTAATTTTAAACTTTTAAAGATGAGAGGGATTATATACAACTGTCTCAAAGTTCATGAAGTTTTTATGCATTTTAACCTAATAAATTTTGCTAAATTTTTAAGTAATGTAATAAAAATTTTCAACTATTTTTTATTGATTCTTCAAGCGACAACAAAAAATATGAATTATTAACTTATAATTTATAACTGACTTTCAAAAGTTACTAGATGACTTTAACAATAATTTCAAATATGTTTAGTAAATTTTTTAAGTGATTTATTTATATACTGACAATAAAAAATTATAAATGATTAATTTGTTATTCATAGCTAAGCATATTGTAAATAATCCTAAATATATTTACCATTATTTTAAAGGAGGTTTGTCTGTTTGTTGATTTTCAAAACATAGCCTAACAGAGCAGCTTGAACCACGTAGGCACATACAAGGTGAGACTTGTGGCCTGAGGGGTTAGTAAACTAAAAGCATCACCATGAATTAAATAAATAAATAAAAGCATTGCCATGTACTTAGAGCCATCAATAAAAGCTGAGCCTGTCAAGTTGGCTCTTTTAAGCTTAAAAAATTTAGAGCCAACCCTTTAGGGCTAGGGCTAGCTCCTTTAGGCCCTTTTATATATATTTTTTAAAATTTTAATGTTAAAAAAATTAAATACTATATTAATTTTAAAATTCTAGCCTCATTTCATGTGGATGCAGAAGGAATATATAAAAAGTTTAATGTCTTTGCCACAATTAAGGCCTAACAAAGAGAAGGATAAAATTATATTGATGTTGATGATAATAAAAATAATCAAGATTTTGCTGACAATGCTAGCAAAGTCTGATTATTATCGGTGTTATTTTTTAATATTATGTTTTTTATTATACTCAAATTTGTTATTGTGTGTATTGACTTAAATTTATTTTTATAGATTTAATGTTACATGTAATAATTTTTTTAGATTTTAAATATTTTTTTAATTTTTAAATTTAAAAAATATAGGGCTGAGGCCCTAAGTGCTAGGGTCAGGCTAGTCAAAATGAAGCCTTGAGATATAATCGAGCTTTATAGGGCTAATTTGTTTAGACCCCAGTTCTTCAAGGGGCCGACCCTAATTAACACATCTACAGTACATTTGGGTTTTGAATGGCTTTGGCCAAATTAAAAAAAAAAAATAGAGACTGGGTTGTCAATGACACCTAAAGACAAGGAGCATATTCAGTACTCATCAGGGGTGATAAGCACTGCACGCTCATTACCCTTGAACTAATCTGTATCATTCTGGACGGTCCAGATTTAAGTGCCATTTTTTTTTTTTATTTTTTAAAATAAAAATTTATAAAATTTTAAATAAATATATTTTATTATTAATGCGTACCATTCATATTTAATCATGTCAGTCTAAATTTAATATTAATTTTTATAATTTTTATATATTGACGATACAGATTTACTCCGAACTGTTTTGAATCTTATAGTATAACAAGTTAAAAATTTTAAATATGAACAGTACAGACTAAATCTGTATGATAAATTTATAAAAAATTATAAAAAAATTAATATTAAATTTGAATTCATCTGATTAAATATGAATGATATATGTTAATAATAAATATATTTATTTAAAATTTTATAAATTTATATTTTAAAAATTTAAAAAAAAATTAAAAAAAGTAGTTAAACCTGGATGGTCCACATTGGTTCAGGGGTGACACCCTCATGAGCACCGAGTGTGCTCTGCTGAAGACAAGAGTCAACGAAGACTTCTAATACTCACAATTTGATTTATATATTAAAGAGCGCTGAGGCTGAGCAAGTTGAAGGTCGTGATAAATAATTAATTATATTTTCAGGACCCATGCATTCAATAATACCAGTGCAAGGCTGATCTGCTCCCTTTTACAATATTAAATTAATTTCATGGCTCACTCTATAAATCAATCTGCACGTCACTCACAGCTGCTGGTGAGCAAGCAAAACCAGAGACACAATAATACTATCTTGATCTCTTCATCTTCCTCGATCACCATGTCTCGCCGTTTACTGGGAAATTTCTCACCTGAAAATCTTGTTCGAGCTCTTAACTTCATTCCACACTCTCAATCCTTGATCGTGTAAGTACTTTTAGCTTTCTGTTTCATTACTCTCTCCCCCACCCCCTTCTTGCTCCATCTCTCTCGTACAGAGACGTACGGTCCTTCATCGTTCGGCGTTTTCCCTTCGATCAGACTCTAATTAACAAGCCTTTCTCATTCTCTTGAATTAATGTTTGTTTTGCATCAGACGAGGTCGTGTTGGGCCCAGAAAACCACCCATCACCAAAGGACCACCTCCTCAACATAACTCCTCTACCATGAGAGCTATGCCGCCGAAGAAGCTTATGCCCGCCGGCGACTCTGCAACAATGGAGGAATCAAAGCAAACTACTGTGAAAGGTCCAGTCAACGCAAGCTCATTTTGCCAACTAGTGACCTTGTATAATATGTAATGTTCATTTTTCATAGCGAGATCGTCGAGAAATAATTATATTTTGGAGTTTTGATATCTGCAATATTTCAGTGTTAATTTGCAAATGGATCGTACTTTGTTTGGGACTGATCGATCATAGAGATCAGATTGGGCTTTTATTTCAATTTAAGTGAATTCATAAATTCTTGTTAAAATGTTGAACATCTTATCTACTGATTTAGATATGTCTTCCCTCTCCCTACCCTACCAGGCTACCCGTATGCC